ATTTTGGCTGGCACCACCATCCATTTTGGTCCCATCGCCCAGATCCTCTGAATTTTTCGGAGATAGCCTCTCGTTATTCTCAAGTTGCCTGCGGTAATGTATTGGTTGTTTAACAAGACAAACTGGTCATTTGACAAGAGATAAACTGAAACGCAGTGCCACTTTGGGAAAACCATGGCATAGACAGGGTTTCCAATACACAGTGGGAGGGAATTGGAGGAATTCCCCAATGACTTCAGGGTCAATAAACAAACCTCATTGCCTCATCCGCACACAAATTCTCCAGAAAGAAAGAAGTAAAATTCTCATGACAATGCGACACACAGAGAGGGCGGTCAGTTGAGTTGGGGTGTTTACCAGTCCAGTCCATTAGGGTAGGATCATCACAATATGCATGCAGCAACAAAGTGACCGTATGAACTCAATCTTCTGTCGTCTATGGCTTGCAGACCCCTACGCACCTGAACAACATAGTCTGCAACTTGCTGCTTCAGGCCAGACGAAATACACGCAACTGCAGCCAGCAGACACTCGCCAACTTCCTCAAACTTGGCCATCTTTGCTCCTCCTTTAGAATCAGCAGTCGGTAATTCCAGAGCTTGTTGAGCATCCACTCCCAGTATCCACTCCCCCTGCCCTCCCCCCACAGGTCCAGCTGGAATCGTTAACAGCGCAGGTGGATTCGGCATCAGCAAACTCTTCCCAAGGCTAAGCAGAGACTTACGAGGTGACATCGGAGGAGAGGGCGAAGCCGCATGCCTTGTTCCAAAGCTCCCCGAGGTCATCCCGGAGGCTCCCGGCAATGAGTTCGGCAGACGAGATCGCATTTCGATCGTCCCTGTGCCTGCACCCTTAGAATACCTCCTCTCATACACCCTGCTTTTGCCTGTGTGCAGGAACTTCCTCAAACACCGCAGCATTCTATCCCACAACCCCACTCCCAGAATGCGCCACATGTCATCCACGGATATCGGATTGCTGTCGCCTTCCTTCCCTTCTTTGGAGGCACCCTCCACGCTCCCATTCCCTGCTTCCTCTCCTGCACCCCCAGCCACATCTGCTTTGCCAAGCTGCTCAAACCAGTCCATACTGTTCTCATGCACACCTGGGAGGACCAATGATATTGAGGTCGCCCCGGCATCTAAACCGGCACATGGTTGCAGGAGTGCAAGAAGTGACCGAGATCTCCGGCCCAGCCATGAGGCTGCAACAAACAGAAAGAATGCTATTGCCTGGCAAACTTGCTCCCGCCGCCCAATCCAATCATCCTTTCCTACCGGTTCCTCTCCGCCTTCTTTTCGAGTGTCCTGACCCAGTCTGAGAACTGCTGATGAAAACCGCACTATCTCATGCACCTGAGCCAAGGGTAGGGAGCCTGCAGAGCTGAGCAAGATCTCTTCACATGCTGACATTCGTGGGCACACCCCTCCCCACAAGACGACGTCCGCATCCTGCGTCAGCACGGTTACTGAAGTCGCAGCAACTGCTGCACCGGCGGCAAGAACTGCCTTGACGAGCACCCAAGGAGTTTCCAAAGCAACAACAGCTGTAATGTCCAAGCCTGCTTCCGTGGACGGGCAGTGACGAATCTGAATCTGACCTCCTGTAGAACCTGCCTTCAAGAAATTGGCAAGAGCTGATGACAGCTCACATAGGAAGTATAAACGCTGCCTTCGGCTCGCAAGCAGAGAAAGCTGCAAGACAGGCAACCAGGGAGGTGTTGCATGACGTCAAACCATGAGGTTCATTTGACCTCTTTAACTGATGTTGAAGGCAGCAAGGCCATAATTCCCAGTCAGTCCACAGCTTGCGCTTATTCTGGTGGGGGGGGGGAGGGGGGGAGAAGCCCCACTGTGAATACCTAGGCTGTTTTCTGTGTGCATGAATTTTCCACCACTTTCCCGGCCGCCCAGCCAGGCAGAGCCTTCAGCCGGGGTCCCTGGCGTCCCAGCACAAAAAAGCAAAAAGCTAAAACACTTCTAAAATCTGAGAAAAAAGTATGTCGTGAAAGATTGCCCTGAAAACATCTTTTGGCTGAGGGTCACCTCAGAACTCAGTCCTTACAGAATCAAAGATCAAAAAGAAAAAAGAAATCAAACTAAGGCACCTCCCAAAAACCCTTGCACAACCATTCATTCACCTGGAATGTTACCTTGCGTTATTGGCCTTTGACAGCAACAACGAACACACTCCCACTACTGTCAACATTCTGGAGAACATACCAAAGACAACCAAAGCTTCCATAAGCAAAGCTATGAGCAATGCATCAATACTCACAGCCCTGTTTCCTCCGTGGCTTTGGTTCCTGTGGCAGCGAATTCATACTCGCATCAGGGCTTTTCCCAGATGCATCTGAATATGATCATACCAAAACATGCCTGGGTGTGAATATCCTTTGATTCACTCTCAGATTCTCAGTACCAATACCACATAAGGGCTTTCCCAGATGCATCGGAATACGATGATACCAAAACATGCCTCGTTGTGAATATCGCTTGATTCACTCTCAGACTCGCAGTACCAATACCGCACTGTGGGATATGCCAAAGACCATCCCATCTTTCAGAAGGTGAGGTGCAAACACTTATTCAGTAGAACACAACAGTAGCCCAACGTCCATAAGCAGATACTCTGCTCGGGAAGAACGTAGAGATCGACTATGTGAGACACCCTGATCCGGAAGCAGCACCAAAGTATTATGCAGAAAATTATCCGGCTTGAATTCACATGCAAATGCAGCAAAACAGAGAGGAAGCAACAGAAGAATGGTCAACTCACCGACATAAGCAGCTCTGGAAGGTTAATACCCCACTTATCCTTTGCAATCCGCAGTGCACTCTCCAGTTCCTTGTCTTCTTTCTCAGCATCCCGTGACGGTCCATCCTTTTCCCCCTTGTTTGCTCCCACACCTTCTCCCTTGCACCTTTTCTCACTATCCTCCTGCTTTAGTGCCTTTGTCTTCCAATGTGGATGTTCCTCCAAGGATTTCGACAGACAGAGGCAAACCAACCGCCTCTTCATCTCATGTCTGATCTGGCCCACAACCTGCGACTCCAACCATGACAGCTTTTGGCCTTCTGGTCCACTCGGTGTCCACTGACCAGTGTCTGCTTCTGCACCCACAGCTGATAAACCCGAAATCTCTTGCCGCTGCCCCCCTGCATGCAGGCCACTAACAAAAGCACCACTGCCATCTGCAATGGCAGAAGGTCGCCGGGATCTGGAGTCCGCACTCCAAACACTTCCAACAGCACCATTTATACCCGGCAGACGCTCCAATGCCTCAAGCTGCGGCATAAAGAACACATGTACAGTTGTCAGCGGAAGAAAAATCCGGAATAAACAATATGTGACTTTGTTAACAACATAATGTCACACCAGTTACAGTTGATGCAGAGACCAGCTCTACCAGATTTCTCCTTTTTAAGGACCCTGCAATTTACCCCCTTCAGTAGAGTCTATACTGGCCAAACCTCCTATGGCCAATTGCCCCTTCTCCTTTACGTTGTCCATGTCATCATTTGCCACATACACACAGGTAAATAACAAAAACCATGTGCTGGTCCCCAGGCGGTACGGCTGGGGGGAGGTCGCCCGGGTACCCTCCCAGGCGGCCCAGGGCAGGCAGGATCATCAATCCCAGCCAAAATATTTTAAAAAAATTGAAAAAAATGGGGAAAAAAAAATGTGTGAG